GCAACGAACAGAGTAGGAATTTATAACTTAATTAAAAAAATTATACGCCGATGACGAAAAAAATTTGAATTTTGTATGAAAGGTACAGTGCTGTTCATTACAAATGTACACAAAGGGGTTAAGCAACCCATTATACAGCTGAGTAAGATTATTGCAGCTCATATTTGAAAAATTGTATTAAAACTCGCTTCTAATTCAATAATTGGAGACGTGGACAAAGGCCCCTTTATAAATTCTTTAATTTATTTGAAAAATTGTTCTTCAAGTTATAAAAAATAATTAAACTAAATAAACCGATCCTGTTATTTAATTACTTAATTAATATTTTTATGTTTAGTGTAAATTATAACGTAGACGAGCATGATTTTAATAGTCACTATAATGTAATGCCTATTTAATTAACATAACGTATCAATTTTATTATTAATTGAAGTGCGACACATGTTACTTTATAAACATAAATGTAAATTGATACAAAGGAAAACAAGTAAAGGGAAATTGTTAAACGACTATTAAGTAGAAATAATATTCGTACCCGTTCTATATAATCTCTCTTTTTGATTTCCGACACTATCCAGGGTAACATGGGGGCGGAAAACCTTCTGTCCATTGCAGTAAACCCTAAATAATTCACTGATATCAACTTCATTTTTGTCTCTGTTTGTATTTGCACGTTTTGCACCACTTTCACCAACTAACGTAAAAAATGTGCCACCAAGTGCGTGTATCTACAGTATGTTTTAAGGAATTTTATTTCACCCCGCAACAGAGGGTAAGACACGGCACCCCAATGTTTTCAGGAGGGTAACGACCATTTCAAAGCGACGTAACTTGTGCGAAGAAAATCAATAACGTCGTGGTCCCAAAAGTTGAGTACGCGTTTTTTTTTTTATTTTCTTCGTATAAAACACGAGGCGCGGAAGACAATTTTTTTTTAACGATTCGCAAACTCTGAATCTAGTCGTCGACTAATTAAGCAGGCTGCACCTGATATTAAACAAACAACAACAATCGAAGAATGTGGTCAAGGTCATTCGACATGGCCTCGCTCATTCGCGCATTATCGGTCACGTTCTTTAATATTTTTACCACGATGAAAATAGAAAAAAGTGACGATGAAATATATTGCACGTAACTTTTATCGTAGGTATATGATGTAGTAGGTTTTTGCCAAATTTACGTTATCATTCGTTCTAACTATAGCAACAAAAGGCGAAAGGCGATTGTTTTATCCCCACCTTTGCTTTTCCTATTTAAACTTTCAGATACGGTTTAATTGAAATTGCTGCCTTATAACTGCACTCCAATGTTTTTATCTTTTCTTTGGTAAAAGTTTTAAAAAGATTTAAGTACGAAAGTAATTTGTACTTTACGGGGTAAAACGAAAGGGAGTTAAAAGATTAAAGACTATGAAGGTGGTTGAGGAAAATAATCTATTAAAATTAAATAAAAAACAAGCGGTCGGACATAGGGGAAGTCGATCTTCAAAATTATAATCACCACAGGAGGATTCATAGAGATGTCTCCTGATCGCACCAATACCCTTCATCTCTTCCACTCGCAAACTAAATAGTACCTAATACTCCTTGGAAAAGACTTCTATTCCGTATGACGGAGACTTAGATACATGTATAGGTAGTTCATGGATCTATCCAGGAATTAGTAGGTACTAAGGGAATTGGAATCGGCCAGCGTATCTGTAAAAGCACTTACGAAAAAAGCACTCTGGATGCCCTTAAAAGGTTTTCAACAAAGTCTAGGCTATTGGAAACTGGAGAACTGCCATCAAACCTTCAATAGACTGACAACATAAACCAAGGTAGTACCTACTATAAACAAGTACCTACTGGTCAATGTCCTAGATGCGGAGTATTCGCACAGCATATTCAGCAATATCGCATCTGGGATCACAGTATCTAATAGCCTAAAAGGAAGTGAGATTGCGGAATCATGAGCGCAACAACTCAATTTTGTGAGCGGGTGCCCTCGAATCTCAAAGGAGAGATTTTAATTTATCTACAGATTACTTACGGTGTCAGGTGTACGATGAGGCAGGTAATACGTATGTCAGAATATTACAACGGAATTCAAGCCATTATCAAAATAACTCAAACTCTAACTGATTACATTTACCGCTCATGCATCCAACTTAGCAGCACAGATCATAGCTATGAGCAGCCCTTTAGTTTTATCCGCCCTTACTGCTGTTAACAAACTTGGAAATCGAAGTGGGAAATTTAAAGCTGGTTTGAAAAACGTAGCTTTATCTTCTGAAAGCTCAGTTTTTCAAATTATTCGTCAGTTATGTCTCACACGGTGGTTATGCAGAATGGAACCTGTTCCTCCTACTCTGACTCAGTTTCAAGTTATCCTTGACTTATTAACAGCAAACCCTAAACAGTTACAAAAAGTAGTTTTTCTTTTATTTACCTACCTAACTCGTTCATTAGGGTCAAGAAGGTTTTAAAAAACATGGGTTTTTAATGGGTGCGGGTGTCCACCATCAATCAGGTGGTGTATAGGCATCTTAGGGCTCCCCCGTTGTTGCGCCCATGATGATGACAATAGTGACTCCTAGAAACCTGGTACAGGAACAATGGCTGGAAGATCTTCTCTTTAACCTCCAATTGTTTATCACTTAAACGATAATAAATGCATGAAATAAGTCATCATCATCATAGGGTCATCAGTCCTAGGACTGGTTGGACACGTACCTCCACTCTTTCCTATCCTGAGCTAAACTTCGCATTTCCCCAAAACTAGAACAACCCACATCCTTAACTATTTGCGAACAATAATCTAACCTAGGTCTACCTCTATCCCTCCTCACTCCTGTTTCTGCCTCTAATATGTCTCTGACTAGACCTTTATGCCTGAGAAGGTGTCCTACCAACCTATTTCGCCTATTTTGTATTGACTTCTATAGAGTCCCCTGTTCTCCTATTCTTTCTAATACCTCTTCATTTCTAACCTTCTCTACCCTCGTTATCCTCGTCATTCGCCTATAACACCACATTTCGAACGCTTCTAACTTTTTCTTTTCCGCCGCGCCCACATGTTTCGCTCCGGTACAGCGCCGTGCTCCAAACATTCACCTTTAACAACCTTTTCCGAATTCCTAAATTAACCGTTCGCGAACATAGAAGTGACTTCTTTTTATTGAAGGCGACACGACCCTGCGCTATCTTCTGCTTTGTATCCCTACTACTCCTTCCGTCCTGACTTAGTGAGCATGAACTAAGACACGACAATAATTCTAATAATAATTCTAGGAAAATTAGGATGATCATTCCAATACGGGTGATAATTGCATAACACACAATCGTCAATCGGACCAGAAGCGACCTTAGGCATAGCATTTGGGGTTGTCCGTAATTTAGAGAACTTTATGAATTTTTGACTTCCTTTTCCCCCCACGTAGCGTGAATTTAAGTCCTGAACAGACCCGTCACCACCCCATTCCTTTAAGTAGCACGTGCATTGTAAACATTGTAGATTTGAATTCAGAAGAAATTTTTAAATTTGTAATAATAATTTACTTTTAATTAAACAATTACAATTTCTAATCAACATTAAAATGTGGTGTCAGATTGCAAAGCAGTGAAATTCGTTTATTAGGATGACAAAAGTAGTTTTGCTGATATATACGGACAGCAGTGGCGGTACTTTCTTGTCAGCCCATAAGTCCTGCTTGCTCTAATATTTGTGTACGGCTAATTATGTGTACCCTAGTTGGTCCTAGAACGGCCTAAGGTAAAGGGGTTTTAGTCGGAAGGTTTGAGGACTTCTTCCTCGCGAATCCGACACTACCCAGTCGTACAGACGGCTGGGTGTCTTTTGAAGATTTCCCCTCTTTCACAAAAACATAAAAAAAAAAATTGTGTACCAAGCTATCGGACTACACTGAATCAGAGCTGCGAACCTTCCTGTTCTAAAATCGGTACGTAACGGAAACCTTAACCCCTCCCCTCTCCCCTCTCCACGTATTTATTAAGAATGTAACAACCGGTTAAAATCACCTCTCTGAAGCTGAAAAAGAGGTGCTTGCAAGTAGGAAGAGTGAGAAGACCCAACCATGGTGCAATCAAACAAAAGTCATCGTCTCTAATTCACTCAACTGTAGAGACTGGGAAGAGTAAATCCTCAACCTCAGCAAGAAGAAATACATGGTTCATCGTGAAAATTCTTACAGGAGTCGAAGATTTGCGAAGCCACAAGAATAAACTGGGATTAACAACGAACCCTTCCTGTCGTTTCAATAATGAGGATATGAGTTCTGAAATATTCCCATAAGCTGCCCCACGCTAACTAAGCACATCAGGCACCGAGTCTTCAAGTGTCTCACGCCCAATTTGGGAAATCCCAAGGAATTACTTAATGTGCGTTTGAAGAATCACTCATACTTGACACATATCTGGGTACGCAGATTTTCTAATACCACTCTCAAATACCTCATTCTAGTCAACACAATAAAAAGGTTAAATTGGAAGAGGAACAATTGACATTAAAAACCTAAATTACAGACAGATTTCTAATCACCTATTACATTTTAGGATAAAAAAACCGATATCTCAATCCATAATTTAGTAACAACAAATTGACCTGTCTTCATTTACCAACTGGTATTTTTTTTCATTTTTTTAGAAGAGGGGAACTCCTCATAAACACTAAACACTCAGCCACCCTTACGAGTACTTTGAATTCTTGAGAAAGCAGAAAGGTGTCTTCGAGTAAATCCCCTCTACCTTAGGCCGCTCTAGGACTACTGACAAGTGAAAATTGACAATAAAAAGATCAGAAAATAATAATAAATTATTTCAACGTTTAGATTTCAGCAATAGTTTAGTTTCTCCTATAATTAATTGTTCGTTTTTTTTTGGTCGAACTGTGCATTATGTATTTTAGCATTTAGTTAACATCCTTTCTGATCTATAGGAATTTGACTTTATGGTTGATAGTAGTTCAAATGAACGAAAAACAAAAAGTAAAATTAACTTAACCTAGTTACGTTGCACGTCAGTTTTTTACTCGAAAGATCTAGAAAGTATTTTATATAGTTGCGCCTGTTATATTTAAAAAAATTACAGTTTAAAGAAAACCCGTATTTGTTTAAAAGTGATCATTTTTTTTGGTTTTCTGAACCTGATACTTTAGAAACACTAATCAGTTCTTCCCTTTAACAAAAAAAATATTAATATGCCTGGAATAGAAAAATCAGATGATAAAAACAAAATTGCTGGTGCTATAGAATACCCAAGATCAAATATAGATCACAATGTTCCTCAACCAGCACAACCAACAAACCTCCAAGGTTTATTACGTTTTGCAATGGAGGCAACCAAAGCTGAAGACCCTACACATGATTCTCACATTGGCCCTATGGATGAAGAAGTAAATTAACATACTAAAGCATCAAGTGTTTTCTAATTTTATTATTTTTAGAGGAAACGTTTTTTAGAACAAGCATTGCAATCCTTAACGATAAATGTAATCGATGTGCTCAAAGAGCAAATTGAAATATTAAAAGATATAGAAACTGAAGCAATCAATGATCAAACTGATATAACAAGGTATTTAAATGCATTTGAGAAGATAAAAGAACACATTGATCATATCGATATTGCAAATGGTAAAACTTCCCCAATGGACAAATTTCCTGCAGTAATTGGCATTGTTTCTTCTTCCAGATTTCCATAAAATTGGAGGATTCGTAATATTTAAGCCATGTTTAATGTGTGTCAGGCCAGAAATAAGAGCTGAAGCATGCAGTGTACTAGCAGAATTATGCCAAAGTAATCCATACTGCCAACGTATGGTCCTGGAAACAGATCTTTTAGCTGATTTATTAGCAATACTAGATACCGATGAACAGCTTGATGTGACTGTTAAGGCTTTATATGCTATTAGTTGTAAGTAACAAAAATTATCTGTACCCATTTTCAGCTAACTTTCTATTGCAACTATTTTATGTTCTTTAAGGCATTGTCAGACACAGTGCAATTGGATATCAAAGATTTATCCAGCACCAGGGCTTGAATATCATGCTGAAAACATTACAAAAAGATAATGATAAGTTGAGGACTAAAGCTGCATTTCTGTTGTCTTCTATATGTGAATCACAATCAGATGCAAAAAGTTAGTAAATCATCACACCAAAGCAGAAACATGATTTTTTTGAAGGGAATTCCCCCATTCTTTCTTCTTATAAAAACAAGTTTTTTAAATGGTTCTTAAAATATAAGACAATAATCAATACAGCATCTTTACAGCTGATTATATAATTGTGTATAATAACTTTTTCTTTAATTTAGACCGTCTGGTTTTTTTGAACTACTTGCCCGTATTAATATCGCTGATTTCAAAAGAACGCAAAGAAAGTCACGAGCATTTACTTTCGTTGTTACTTGTAATTGTTCAGGATAATTCTGCAGCGATTCTGGAATGCAGAAATCCCAAGTATCAATTAGAAGAAGTTCTTTTAGAATACTTAAAACAAATTAAAGGCAAACCTGAGAGTCAGGTAAATAAACTTATTAATCGCCATACGATTCATGTTTAAGCATTTTTTATTTTTTGTTTTTCAGGAAGAAGAGGAATATTGTAAAACGCTAATTTTAATTTTAAATCCAGAAGCTGAAATTTGAATAACTATTTATGTATTGTTAGATTCAGTAATAAACTAATTAATTTGTATTTAATAACTTGTAATTGATTAAAGCACGATAATTTAATTAATAAAAAAAATGTAACTTTCTGAATTTTTTTATATCTTAATATATAAAAGCAAAATTAAATTTATTTGTTAATAAGAGCTGCCGACCTATAGAATATAAAAACAATTTTCAGGACATGTGTTTCTAGGCATTATTAACAGAAAACTGATTCCTTAAAGAAATAATTTAAAAACAGCATGTTTATTCTCTTGTGACATACTATACATAGTAACTATCTAATACGTGTATTTTAAAAATGCTTCCCCACGAAAATAATTACTTTTATCACGTTCCTCTCGTACTGTGAAATGTCACGTTTTATTAGCCTAAAGAACGTTGAATTTATAAACAAAATATTTTTCTTTTTGTGTGACATACTGTACGTAGTCATCTAGTACGTGTATTTCAAAAATGTTTCCCCGCGAGAATTGCTTCAGCGGGTTCGAAGCCGTATTTAAGAAAAATTGAAAAGTTTTATTGATTACTGTTGTGATATTTTCCCTTTCAACAATTACGTAATTTGTTTTAAAGGGTATTATTTGGTTATTGGTCGTTTGCTTATAGTTTTCTAGCGATTGTTTTCTTACTTTTATTTGTAAAAAATTATGGGTACATACGTAGGAATAACTAAAAATTAAGTTTTATAAACTATTTGAAGGGAATATTTACAGTCAACGAATACTCACTGGAAATTACTTGTTTCTCATCCCTTAATCCTAAGATGCATACTTATTATTGAATACTTATTTCATTTGAAGTTAATTTAAGTTTTAAAAATGTAATTATTTGTGTCATGAGTTTTTATTTTTAGATGGATAATAAGCCCCCGCTTGTCTAAAACGCAGCCAGTATATAGTTACCTACATATGCAAATTGTTTATTGATATAAGTGTGTATGTGGTATGAAAGAAAAGTCTGTAAAATGGCGGTGTCTATATATAAATATTTTATTCAGAAATAGATTGACGCTCTCAATAGCCCTTTCTAGCGTTTCTTAATTTAATATGAATAATGTCCAGAAATAGCTGAAAAAGTTTTTGGTTGGTCATTAATTAGATAATTTCATTAATAATCTTCGGTTTTAACTTAAAACCGTAATAATACACCCCCTACATAGATGGGTAAATTTATAGATGAAGAAGAATAGTTACGACTTACGTCCAATTTCTTACCATTGTCGCGCGCGCATCTTAAGCGAAAGTTTAACGAAGACTTATGTCTTAGATAGGTGCTGCTAAGCAATATAATTATTTAACTGGAGATTTTGCATTAAAAAGTTTTGTATTGATTTTTCACATGATTTTTGTTAGATTAGTGTCTTCGTGACGGTTAAGTGTTGGGCGAAAACGTATGTATTAGTTTCATTATGTTTTTAAGTGAACACTATACCATTTAGTTGCTAAATTTGTTAAATTGTTGTTCATTTTTTCTTACCAATTTAGGGGTTTATCAAAATGGCGGTAGCGTCATTTTACATAATGTTGATCTTATAATTATAACATTTTCGTCCTCTAATTCTTTAAACAAAGACTGTTTTATAGTGTAAGTGAGCAGAATCTCTTAAAAAAAGTATATTCCTTAAATAATTGGGAGGCTAGTAGGTGATTGTTTTTTTAACCAAAGTTGTTTTAATAATTTATTCCTTTCTTTTATTGAACATTTGGTTTATAATTTGTTATAAAACCGTGGCTCACGTGCATTTTTAAACGTATTTGGTATTTTAGGTTATGTTGTGGTTTACCTTTTTTAATTTTTACCGGCGTTACAACATAAAAGAAACACCAAAAATACCATTTGTTAGTTAAGAGAAATCATATGGATATGTTAGTTTAAGCTGTTTTCGTTTAATGTAAGCCTTGTTTTTAAGCAGAAAAGTCTTTGTTGCAGATAAAGGAAACTAAATGTTTGTTTATTGTGTAATTGGATGTTTATAAGTTTATCAGACAAAACAAAGAAATAATCAAGATGGTAACACCACCCCAACAATTTTGCGTAAGATGGAATAGTTACCAATCAAATCTTCAAAATGCATTCCCAAAACTTCTGACTGCGGAGCATTTTGTGGATGTAACATTGGCCTGTGAAAATGAAATGCTTAAATGTCACAAAGTTGTCTTATCAGCATGTTCTACATATTTCGAGAAATTACTGTTAGACAATCCCTGCCAACACCCTATAATTTTTATGAAAGATATGAAGTAAGTACCTACAAAATTACAATCTATCTAAATTAATGACAAGTTCATGTCAGTTAACATCAGCATGTTTAGTTATCGTTTAATAAAATTACAGTCATTCAGCAAGTTATTTGTTGGTATGTAAAGGTATTTTTGTCTTGTAGATTTCATGAGATGCAGTCGTTAGTAGATTTTATGTACAAAGGAGAAGTGAATGTTACGCAAGATGATCTACCTTCTCTTTTAAAATCTGCAGAAGCCCTACAAATAAGGGGTTTGTGTGGTTCAGACCAGTTGCTAAATCAACATCATTTGGGAGCCTTAAAAGCACAGGTAAATACTTTAAAATAAGAAATATTTCTTTTGAGAAACCACTTTCTGAATTTTATTAATTATTTTAATTGTTTCTTAGATGAATGCTGCAAGTTCTAATGGAGAAAAGTGCCCTACACCTAAGTCAAGTGATCAGCAATCGCCTGTTAAGGTACCATGCAAAAAAGATGAAAAAACTCAAAACGAAAATCAGATGGAGAATTCAGAAAGTTCACCTGCATGTTCAGAATCAAACGAGCAAAATCCAATTAAAGGTCAGTTAGGTATAAATCAATAATTAAATAATAATGCAAGTTGATTATTTATTTTACCATGGTTATTTATTCTTTCATATTACAAAAAATTGAAATTAAGTAATTTTAATTTTTTACCTTTATTTACTTACTTATTACTTTGTTTAGTTCTACTTGCTTTTAAGTTTGCAATTTTATTACTTCTATATTTTATTTATGTGCCTAGATAGGTGTTACCTTTTTTCTTTATTTTATGTTTTCTATTAATTTTTAGACGAAAACGACCACAATAATGATACGGGTGAAGACGATTCATACTTCGAAGGTGATAGTGAGATAATGGATACAGAATTTTTAGAAGAGGACTCATCGTTAAATAACAGTGATGTAAAAAACTCAGATTTCGCGATTGCCAACGTTTCGTGCCAGTACGATGGCAGTCCAGGTATGTTTCCTTTAGGATTTCCTTTAAACTAATTAATTTTTGTTTCTGACACTGCTTCAATATATATTTTTTTATTTTAATCTTCAATGAACATTATTCCAAGACTCTTGAATAATTCGTTTTTATGTTAGTCAATAATTAATGCAAAAAATAGATAATACCTATCATATTTTCGAAAAAAATATACTTACTGATTATAAAAACGTTTACTGATGTGATTACATTTCATTGTCCTACGGTTATTATTTTTTTTCTTTAAGTATAAATTTTACACTTATAAGAGGTTGTATTAGTGCAGTTAATAAGGCCCTTAAAGGGCTATTTTCTAAAAACAATACAACCATATGGACATTGCATATTTATAACGGAAAAAAGTGTTAAAGTATTGAAATAGTATGCATGAGAATTTAAAAATTACAAACAGAAAAACATTGCACTAGAAAAGTGCTTTACATAAACGTATTATTAAGATAAAGTAATAATTTATATTTGTTTACTGTTAAACAGAAAACTTATTTTTTTCATATTGTTATTTGAATACAAAGTAAGTTACTTATAACTGCAACGTTTCGTCTATTAGACGCGAGATCCCCCTCCGATCTCGGCATGTACCCGGGTGTGCCGAACCGTCGTATACGACGTTCGGACGAGGAGCTGCGCCGTGCAGCCGAGTGCATAACCCGCGGTCAAACCTTCCAAACGGTCAGTGACCAGTTCAACATACCAATTTCAACCATACGCTTTTACATGGCACGCAAAGGCATCTTACCGCGGCGCAAGCGCGGACGCGCTTGCGGCGGTTCGCTGATGAGTGGTGCAGGGGTTGGAGGAACCACAGTCTCACCGATGGGCGGTGGAGCGACAGCGCTTGCGTACAACGCTCCCGGCAACACCAGTCCAATCGGACCGCCCTATCACATAGTGCATTACAAACTACCCGCGCTCGGCGTTTCCAAACTGAAGTAGGCTAGGATAGGTTAGGTTTATACTACAACTACTACTTGATACTATTATTACTACAACTACTACAATAGGACACGGTACCTATTACACGTTTTATTTTAAGCGAATGTGTTGGGAGAGAGAGAGAAAGATATATAGACAGATAGACAACGGTGTAGTAGTGCCGAAATGTCCAAGTGTTGTAATGTGTGCTGTGTGTCTGTCATTTTTATTGTCAGGAGCTACGGCGATCGCTTTATCGGATGGTATTTTTTTATTGTAGGTATCATAAAGGTCATAATATATACAAGACGTTTCTTTATCTCGGTTATTGTGAGAGATATTGCAGTTTTGACACCACAAAAATAGAAAAATGATAATTTCGACGTCTTCCTAGTCATTTTAATATATTTCATACAGTTGATAAGAAGTATTAACAATAGAATCACAGTTTTTACTTATATACAATACGTAACAAAAGTATGGAATATTAAGTGGGTGTACAACAACCAGAAAAGCTCCTACAATCCGATTTTTATTTATCAATATCAAGTGGCAAGTCCTCTTTTTTTAAACAATTCGATAAAGAGTAACAAACTATAATAAGAATAATGCAAACTTATTGTTAAGAATTAATCATTTAAGTACCAACAACAAACTCATTATAATTTGACAATGAAAAAGAGAGATATTAGTTAAAAAAAAAATAGCTGTCTGCTTTATCTGCCTTAATGTGCATGAATTATTTATTTATTTATCAAAACATATCGAGAAAATCATTTTTTATGTCTTTAGGGCTTTGAAAAAATTTAGGAGATACTAATTTAAAATTTACTTTGTATCTTTTCTTATAACCGAGGCATTATATTTTTCTCATTGGTCGCCCTGTAAATATTATATCATTAGAAATGGGATCTTCTTAAAAGGGCATTATTCTTTAATATTTTCATTTGTTATTGCTTTTTTTGGTCATCAAAGGGTTGCTTAATATTTGTGCCCTGTTTAATTATTTTCTTAGACAAACTTAAATTCCAGAAGTATACAAATACAATCCCAGTTTAATAAGAAAACAGGTCCTGACGTGCTCCTTTTGGCTTGATCTCCACTCAATCACATTTATTTTTATATTTACTCTTTTTATTTCATATTTTTAGCGTATCTTTTATTTTACAATATTTTCATCTATTTTTTTTTTAAGCATCACTACCAAAACTTTGTTAACGTCGACATAACAACTGAATCATTATTTTTATTTGCTTTTAACATAATTCTCGTTTTGTGTGATCTTACATAATACCGTGGTTATTTTACTGATCTAATTATACGAAGAAAATACGTAAATGGTAAAAGAAGTTTGTAGTTTTGAGATTTAGACGTTTTTTTATTGTAGCGTGTAACTAAAAGAAAATTTGTAAATGTTAGGTTGTAAGTGAAATGGAAAAATCAGAGAGCAAACGAAAACAAACATGCGATTACTATCATACGAAAAATTAGTAAGTAAATTTCGAAAATTAAATGGGAAAATGAAAGAAATATAAAAATTCAAAATTGAGGTAGCACTATATTCTTTTACAGAGAATTATAGAACAAATTGGCGACTCCAAAGTCGAATAACTCGTAGGTTTCTAATCATAGAACTAGTCTAAACGTTGGAAGTTGCTGTGACTTGGCCTTCCCCGTACTATCGCGTATGGGGGTTAATTGGTGAATTGTCAAATGTTTTGTTGACACAATGGCTTGCAGTAGGTGGTCTAACTTTGAACTTTTAGATCATAAACGTTGTGTCGCTGCATTCAATTCTTTGGTTTAATTTGTCAAATTTTTCGTTAGTAGATGATTTTGTGTGTAACCTTGGTCTTTGGGTCTTTTCGTTGGTGTTCCATTGTTTATCATCAGTTACACATCAAAAAGAGCCTTGATGGATTTAGTATCATTAAGGATATGACTAGAAACCGATAAATTAATTGACTTTGAAATCGCCCATTTATTGTATCTATCACCGTCTGTATCATTTTGTTAAGCAACTCGTAGTGTGACTGCTGTTAAATAGCTTTATTTATTATTAACAGAAAAATTAGTATAACAAATTTATTTATTAAAATAATAAATATGAAACGTGGAACAACACTTTGGTTGATTTTCTAGCAGAAGTTTATCCATTTTATAGAAGATATTTCTCTATGAATTGAATATTTTGTTTTCCCATTTTGTTTTCGGGAAAGCGCCTGTTCCATTTTTTATTTTTTTGGTGTTGAAGGTGACATTCGGGACTCTCATACAATTAATAAGCAAAAATAATTGATATTTGACGATAGGATCAAAATTAGTTTGTTAGTACACATATACAGTAAGTTTTGCCATTATACCTGTTTCCCTTTCTGTGTACGTCTACTTATATTAATTATTTATTAGTATCGTTTGTTGTGAGATCAAAACTAGTCCCAAAGACAAGATTTGACTGCTTTTTTTTAAGTGATCGATGTTATTCACTAGTTTGTCGTAGGAAAACCAAACATAATTGAAAAAAGGTCACATTTAGAGACAATCATTTTCCTATTGATTTAGCAATTTATTATTGATATTGACGTAATTTTTTTGTTGCATTAACTAATCTTATCGTGGTTTTTCGGAGGAGTGTTTTTATATAAAGACTCTGTGTGTGCTATCTATACAACATTTCTTTTTTAATGTTGTTTTAAACTTTTTTTGAGCCTTTTTTACGTGACAATCTGCGCTATTCTTTCGGGCATCTACTTATTTAGTTTTAATTTGTGTGTAAATATTTTTTTTATCCATCATGCTGTATATGTACGTATTATGATTTTGTAACGTAGTTGCAGTCCTACATATCTGCCAATGCATAAGGACATTTTTTTAATTCGATCCCTTGTACAGAGAAGTACCAAAAAGGATATTGTAAGTTTCTTAAAAGGCAAACGTTTTTTTTAAGGTGCTCTGAAGAAGTGAATGCAGCTATCCGCGTTTTTTTTTTTAATTATTATTTATTAATTTTGCTATAACAGTATTCTTTTTACACAACCGTATCATGTTGTCAAATATTATTATGCATTTTTTTGGTGCATTTCTTCACTTTGCGAGTCACATTTTTCATGAAGTAAACAAAATAAAAAATCATCAAAACCGCACAGGACCTCATAGAGTGTACCATAGGTTAGTGTTTTAATTATTTAAACATACACATTAAATACATGATAGTTACAAGTTTACTTTGTAAGTTACTATAATAATTATCATTATTGTTAGTCCTGATTTTTTCTGACTGAGTTATTAATTTTAAGTATACATTTAATTAAGAAACTTAAACATAAACGTATATTAACGGAGACACCAGTGCAAGGTGCCCCATAGCTGTGCAACCAAATAATGGATGATGAAGTCAATTTTTTGTTTATTTCTGCCCAGTCTTATTTTTTTATACAGTACTACTTAACCATTTATCTCTGGTATTTTTTGCATCGTATTATACGTATTTTGTGTCTTGTCGATCTGTGTTTTCACTTTTTTTTTTTTTGATAAGTATTTTTTCGCTCGCATGTAGTGTTATTGGAAATTGTTTAATAATTAATTAAGCGATTAGTTAGATCTTTAGACTTTGTCTGATGTAGTTATTTGTGAAAATTTGACGGAGTTAGTTATTTGGCATTTTTTTGTTATGCTATATTCTCATTTCTTTGAGGTGCAAAGTAAGGTGTAATTGATTTTGGGATATTTACTTAAGACCTTAAGAGACAGTGATAATTTAGCTAGTAACATTTCTGGGTAATAATACTTTTAGATGAATTGTTTCCATATTTGAAGTGAATATTTCTTATGAGGACGCGTTAAACTATGAGTGATAGCTGCCAAGTATTGTCTTATCAAGTTTTGTGTCTTTCAAAGATATTTATCTAATTGGATATAAGAAGTATTCACTTAAGTCATGTATAATGTCACACATTTTTCATTGAATAGATCACACGTCACTTTTTGTTCCTTTGAACCTCTGCATTTATTTTACCATGTCTTACTTCCTTGCTCTGCATTTCATCTTACTTAATATTGTGTAATCATTTGACTGCTTTATTTATTTATTTGATAACTTTTCCTTTATCGTGTGAATTACGCTTCTTGTTGTAATAGTCTGTTAACATTACGAGTATAATGTTTCTTTCGTTTACAGTATTTTCTTTTTTAAGTGTATCTGAAAATAATGTTCCTGCCCCATTTTTTTTAAATGTATATTAATTAGGAAGTATCTTATTTTCGATCTCACGTATTTTTATTATTATTATTATTATTATTTGTAACCGTCTTTGCCATATTTGCTCGGTATGTTTTTTACTTAATTTTTTTACAACAATAATTATTATTAATCCAGTGATGTAAATATATAAGCATGATGAAATGATACTGTACGTCTGGGGTCTTTGGATTTTCATCCCCATTTCGTCCACACGTTCGTAAAACGGTTTCGATTTTCCCAGTTAATTAGGCGATTAAAATTCGATCGGTAAATTGCATTTATTAAGTTTATACGACTTGAGAAATGTGTGTGAGTATAAGTTTTCAAAGGGACGTGTGGATGGTTACGTAAAATGGGGATGATTCGTAATTGACCCCTGATCTACTATATTGTATACATATAATACATACAGTATGTGTAAAGTGCCATCTACAATATATTTTTTTAGTAAATAGAACGCTTGTGTCGTGACTTAGGATTGTATACAGTATTCGGTCGTAAATAAACATTATTATTATTAAATAGTTTAGCCAGGTTGGTTTCT